TTCGTAACTTTACAAGAAACGGTTGTAAAGAAAAATATTTCAGACAAAAGTTACATAATCTTAAGGGGGACATAAAACAACTATATCATTTTGTTTACAGATGATGCCACTTGAGATATTCACTGATCATCATTACTTTCCTTAAATGGAAATCTCAATTTTTTATTATATCATCTTTTTCTACCAATTAATTTTAATAACTTTTGTCTAAAACATTTTTTTATTTGCCTAATATTTTTTGAGATATTTAAGGAAAACTTGGAGGAACTAAGGACAATTTTTTTAATATTTAACATATGATATCTCGCTAACTATTTGTTGAAAAAGTGTTTACTTTTTCATTTTATTTGATCTCAAGAATATTGGTGAAAATTTTATTTGGTTTCAAGAATTGTTACAATAACTCTATGACTTCTGTTAATTTGATGTTTTTGTTGATTCGATTTTGAAATTTCCAAAGGTCGATAAGTTAACAAAGTTAGGGCACTATTATAACAATATATTCTTGAGATTAAATGAAAAAATTCCAGTACTATTTTTTTTCCGTCAAATAGTTAGCGAGATATCGTAAGTTAAATGTTGAAAAAGTTACCAAGTTTTCCTTAAATATCTCAAGAAATACTAGGCAAATAAAAAAATATTTCAGACAAAAGTTGTTAAAATTAATTGGTAAAAAAAGATAATATAATAAAAAATTGGGGTTTCCATTTAAGAAAAGTAATGATCAGAGAATATTCTGAAAGTAGCGCCGAAAGTGACGTCTGTAAATAAAATGATATAGTTATTTTATGTCCTTTTTAAAATTATACAACTTTTTTCTGGAACATTTTTTCCTAAAATGTTTAGTTTTTGAGATATTTCGCCGTCCCGGTACTTTTTATGCACCCTGCATATATACAGGGTGTCTTAAAAATATCAGAATCCTCAGATAACTTTGCAGGATCAAGTTTTTATGAAAAACTTTAAATACAAAAGTTGTAGGAAATCAAGTAACGGACTTGATAGTGACCTCAAATTTGACCTTGACCTCGACATTGAAGGTCAACTTGCGTTTTTTAAATAGGAATCCCTGTTTTTTATTAGACTATCTTTTTCTACCAACTAATTTGAACAACTTTTGTCTAAAACATTTTCTTATTTGTTTAATATTTTTTGGGATATTTGAGGAAAACTTGATAACTTTTTCAATATTTAACTTATGATATCTCACTAACTACTTGTCGGAAGAAAAAGTGGTACTAGATTTTCTCTCTTTATTTAGTCTTAAGAATATATTGTTACAATAGTGCTCTGATTTTTGTTAATTTGATGATTTTGAAATTTCCAAAAGTCGGTAAGTTAACAAAAGTCAGGGCGCTGTTATAACAATATATTCTTGAGATTAAATAGAGCATAAAAGTCTATCACTTTTTCTTCTGACAAATAGTTAGCGAAATATCGTAAGTTAAATATTGAAAAAGTTATCAAATTTTCCTCAAATATCTAAAAAAATATTAGGCAAATGAAAAAAAAGTTTTAGACAAAAGTTGTTCAAATTAATTGGTAAAAAAGACAGTATAATAAAAAATAGGGATTCCCATTTAAAAAATGCAAGTTGACCTTCAAATAACCTTCAAGGTCGAGGTCAAGGTCAAATTTGAGGTCACCATCAAGTCCGTTACTTGATTTCCTACCACTTTTTTATTTAAAGTTTTTCATGAAAATTTGATCCTGCAAAGTTATCCGGAGATTCTGGTATTTTTAAGAAACCCTATATATATACAGGGTGCGTTAAATCGAAAAATGCTTAAGACAAAAGTTGTTTAGCTTGAAGGGGGATATAGGACAGCGATAGCATTTTGTTTATGGCTCCATTTTCGAGATATTATCAATCGTTGGAGCGAACAAAATATTATTATTAATCAAACGATTTTCTAATGCTACACAATTTTCTTTGGAAAATTCTAAATGTACGAAAGATTTTCTTTGATCTCTCTCAACTAAAATAATTCTTGAAGAGAAAGAAAGCAAAAATCCCATTTTTATATTGAAAATGGATTTTCAATAGATCTATTATCTACTCTTACGCTCCAAGTCTCAAATTTTATTATTTCAAACATAATGTCTCTTCAGATAAGGTCTACGATTTACGAAAACCAAAACAAACTATTCTAATCTCTGATTTCACATTTTTTAGAGGGGTACAATTTAAAAGAAACATCAGCTTCAAGGAAAATCCCTCTATCAAGCTCCGATAATATTTTGTTCTCTCCAACGATTGGCATCGAGTGCACAAAACAAACCAGTAGTCACCTCCAACCCCTAATTTCCTTCTTCTCAGAGGGTAAAATGCTGGAGAAACATCGGCTTCTTTCGAAATCTTTTCATAAAGCCCAGAAATATTCTGTTCATTCCAACGAATTGCATTCAGAGCATAAAAATCTGTACAAATCCTCGCTAACCCTTATTTTCAACCCTTTTAGAAAGCAACTTGCTGAAGGAACATCCGTTTCTCGAAAAATACATTTTAATAGCTTTGAAATATTTTCTCCCTACCAACGAATGGCATAACCTATATGAAATCCTTGAAAATTCACCTCAATCCTTATTTCTAACCCTTCTAGAAGGTGAAATGCTGCATGATCGGTTTGTGTAAGAATACACTCACAAAGGGAGAACGTATCGACCGGCAAACGGTTTGGAACGAAACTTACGGAGTTAATAGTACTTGACTACTAATAACTCATGGTAATAGCATACGACGCAATACCTCTTCGTTTTCAAGAAAAAACGGTCTAAAGAAAAGAGCTAACAAAGTGTACGAGTTAGTAAGAAGGGTATTCAATGAAGCAGCGTAACGCAGCAGCGAAGGTAACGGACTACCGAGCTGACGGCTAAGGTTCGATCCCTGCTGTATGGTTTTTTTAGTCTGTAAGCATAAAAATGAAACAGAAAACATTAATAAGTAATAAAACTGCGTTTCTTAAATGTATTAGTGTTTGTTAAATATATTATTAATGATTTAAATTGCAAAAAAGCCATAAATCTTATCTATAAAATATATAGTGTATGAGAAAATTTTTATATAATAATTGCAATGGAAATAGGAGTAAAAATATATTATATTTTCGCTGGAGGATTTTTCGATAATAATTCATTATTCTCGTAAATAGAATTCGCATATACGGGAGCATTAGTGAATTCACCTTTAAAATATTCATTTTCAAAAGATCTTTCTTCTAGCGATTCTACATCAACTATTTTGCTTGTTGAAGGATTCTCTGACATTGTTATGATATATATAATTTAAATATGATCACCGAACTGCTCTGTATCACTAATAAACGCATACTGCTGCTTGCTCTACTGACGACTGTTCCGATGCTCGAATCATTTCGTCATTCTTAACGATCGTTTAGAATGACACAAAGGAAGATTTTGGAGGGGGATTGCCAGAAGAGATAAAGACACAACACAACTTCAACACAACACGACTTCAACACAACATAAAGAGTTGTAACAGAAACAAATATTTTATATATACGATATAAGATTACGAAAAATTATCTCATACTAGCTTAACCCTTTGCGGTCGGCCGATTTCGAAGAGATCGATAAACATTGATATCTGTAAGTTGATCTAAACATTTGAATCTAGCATAGGGAGGATAGTTTTCTTTCATTATCGCTAGCCACGTTTGCCGTGCCGCACGCCAGGCGATCATGAATGCCAGCCTGGCGGCACCGACTTCTACGACGACTTGCGAATGCCGCCACAGTGGCGGTATCGACCGCAAAAGGTTAATAGCATTCCTATATATTTAATAACAATATTTTTACTCCTATTTCCATTGCAATTATTATATAAAAATTTTCTCATACACTATATATTTTATAGATAAGATTTACGGCTTTTTTGCAATTTAAATCATTAATAATATATTTAACAAACACTAATACATTTAAGAAACGCAGTTTTATTACTTATTAATGTTTTCTGTTTCATTTTTATGCTTACAGAATAAAAAAAACCATACAGCAGGGATCGAATCTCAGCCGTCAGCTCGGTAGTCCGTTACCTTCGTTGCTGCGTTACGCTGCTTCATTGAATATCCTTCTTACTAACTCGTACACTTGTTGGTTCTTTTCTTTAGACCGTTTTTTCTTGAAAATGAAGAGGTATTGCGTCGTATGCTATTACCATGAGTTATTAGTAGTCAAGTACTATTAACTCCGTAAGTTTCGTTCCAAACCGTTTGCCGGTCGATGCGTCCTCCCCTTGTGAGATATTTTTTTCTCACCAATGAATGGCATTGTGTGCACGAAAACTTGGAAAATTAACACCCAACCCCTATTTTTAACCCTTAAAAGAGGTTAAATGAAAAATCCAATCATTGATTTGGAAAGAGCACCCTCGGAAACTCTCAGAAACCATTTTACTCCATGAATTTTACTCGATATGAAAGATATAATCAGGTAATAATAAGTTTTCTATTAATTTTTCCGACTTCAAGCCGCCATATTGGAACCGTCATATTGGTTTTCTGAAAAGGCCACGGTTTAAATGAAAGTACATATCTATAGCTTCAAAATGAGCCCGGGTACAGTTTTTTTTGTTGCTTAAATTTTTGGACAAAGGGGGTGTCATATTTGACAGAGAATGCCATATATATCTTTTTCTTGATATTTTTCGTATCTTTGATATAAAATCAATAAAATTATCGATATTAACCTTGATCTTTCTCTAATTATATGATTTGCAACATAAAACGCAGGTATTTTTTCTCCTTCTATTTTGAATGCTATAATTACTTTTACAACTTAAATTTGTAGACCTGTAATTTAAAAAGCTTTTCTATATTTTTTTATTTATTATTTATTATAGTAATTTAATATTGATGTCTATATGATGTCATCTGTTCTTTCTCTTTTACATGTTCATACTAAAAGGTTTTCTCTGTGCATAAATATTATTATTATTATGATATAATTACATTTCTTTATTGCATATCTTTTTCCAGAATGCTCAGACCGTTTCAATATCTACTCGTTTTGACATTGATAATGACGGTGTCGTGTGTCAATGAGACGGAAGACGACGCCACGATGTCAGCAACATCAATGACGAAGTTGATAATAACGACAGCTGAAACAATGTCGACGACAATATTGGAAACGACAACAGTAACACCAACAACAACAATATCAACAATAACGACGATGGCGATGACAACGACGTTTGCTCCCAATGAAAACACGTCGTCGTCATCGTCATTGTCGTCTCCGTCGGCTTTATCGGCAACGACAGTAGAGAATGATGACATCCCGAAAGATATATCCCACGCATCATCGTCCTCCTTTGACACGGTTTGGGAGTGTCCGAATATCACAAAAGTGGGTGTGGAATGTTCCTGCGACTTTCCATATACACTCAGATGTACAGGCGATAGAACGGCGCTGCAGGTAATTGCGTCACTACATTAACGTCATACACGTACATATATATGTGCGTGCGCGGCTTTGACTTTAAAACATTTTTTTATATACTAGGTATTTTCGGGTTATATTCAGATGTTTTCAATTAAATGGGACAGCTCTCGTTCGAGAACGTCTGTTGTTACGCTTCACAGCGCGATCGAGGTCGTTACTTTTTAACCATCGGTCAAGAAGAGCGTAGGTGTATAGATTGCTAATGAAATACAAATCATATACGTATATATCATTCAAGAGTTCATTGTGCTCGTTGCTCTTTTCCTTTCGTTCCCGTCTCTTTCTTCCTTACGACTCGATGCTCGATCTCGCTGGTTCGCGTACGCCAGTTATATTGCATTGCGTTCTACAATTAATACGAGGGTAGTCCCAGAAGTACCTGACCTGACGTATAGATAGCGGTTGTTGTTTAAAAAGAATGACTATAGTAGAAAGTATCAACCTTATAAAGCTTAAGTTTGAAGTTTGACGACGCTACGTTGTTTAGTATTTGTTTGGCAGCCACCAATAGTGAACGTTCTCAGTGAATTTGTAAACATGGAAAAAATTGGTCATCGTTATGTGATACAATACTTTCATTTAAAAGGCCTCAGTCCAACCAATATCAAAGCGGAGCTAGATTATACTCTGGGGGAGTATACTCCTTCGTTTACAATAGTAAAATATTGGGTGGCAGAGCTTAAACGAGGCCGTACGAGCTGCCAAGACGAACATCGCAGTGGTCGACCAAATGAGGTGACCACGCCAGAAATCGTGAAGAAAATTCACAAAATGGTATTGGATGACCGTCGACTGAAAGTGCGCGAGTTAGCAGACATGGTAGGCATTTCAAAAAGTACTGTACATCGCATATTGACTGAAAATTTGGACATGAGAAAGCTGTGCGCAAGATGGGTGCCGCGATTGGAACGAAAACAGCGTCGTGAGGGTGTTTCAATCGAATGTTTGGCGAAGTTTCGCAGTAATAAAGCCGAGTTTTTGCGTCGATTCATAACCATGGATGAAACATGGGTCCATCACTTCACATCTGAGACGAAGGAACAGTCAAAACAATGGACCAAGGTGGCTTGATGGCTATTTTAAGGAGCTCGACGATTCCCACTATAAACAGAGTATCGAAGCTATTGAATATCGTTGGGAAAAGTGTATTGAGCTAAAAGGAGACTATGTAGAGAAATAAAGATATTTTTTCCCAAATTTTTTGTGTTTTCTTTGTTAGGTCAGGTACTTTTGAAACTACCCTCGTAACATATCGCAGGTCGTGAATCATTTCAACAAACATTATTCATATTAATAAAAACTATATCTTCACGAGAATACCTTAAGAGGATGCTGAATGTGAAAATTTTATCAATAGAGAACTGTCAAAATTTGACATTTTTTCTGCAAAGTTTACGTCGTTTTAAATGCTTCAGAATTAAATATGCTTTTACACGATGAAAGTATGTGTAAAAATTAATTGGAGCATCACACAATATATGACGAAAGCGATAAAAAATTTTTTAAATAAAATTTCGAATGGACAGTTAGCGTAATATTTATCTAATACAATAGTTTTGCAACTTGTATATACCGAAACTCTGGATGCTCCAATGAGGAAAAATTTACAAATCATTTCTAACAACTCAAAATTTAGGTAGGAAACCTAAAACGATACGAAAACTTTTTTAATATTAGAAATAGTTTAATATTAGAGTAGAAAAATTTTTAAGGGGATGCTGAACGCGAAAACTTTATCGACAAAGAACTGTCAAAATTTGATATTTTTTCTGCAAAGTTTACGTCGTCTTAAATGCTTCAGAATGAAATATGCTTTTTCAGGATGAAAGTATGTACAAAAATTAGTTGGAGCATCACTCAATATGTAACGAAAGCGATAAAAAAATTTTAAATTAAAATTTCGAATTGACAGTTAACGTAATATTTATCTAATACAAAAGTTTTGCAGCTTGTATATACTGAAACTCTGGATGCTCCAATGAGGAAAAATTTATAAATCATTTCTAACAACTCAAAATTTAGGTAGGAAACCTAAAATGATTCGAAAACTTTGCAGAAAAATTTTTAATATGTGCGGTTAGGTCTTCCGATAAATATGATAATGCAGAACAGAAAAATAGTTCACGACTGTTCTCATAGCCAGCGCTGCAATTTTCCTGCAAATATGATAACGAATAATCCGAATGTATCCTAAGTATATACATATAGATATATATATATATATATAAGCAAAATTCCTAGCAATTGTGTAAAGATTACATTGCAGTGGATGCATCGAATTAAAAATCTTTTCGTATAATGAATATTCCTGCCAAAATAAAGCGGAGTAATACAAATCGACCTAAAAAATGATGGGGAACTATAGCAAATAGGACATCGACTTCCTTCTGCCAAGTTTACGTCGCACTGGCTGTACGGAATTGAAAACGCTTTCGTACAATGAATATTCCTGCCAAAATAAAGCGGAGTAATTCAAATCATCCGAGAAAAAGGATGGGAAACTATTGCGAATAGAACACCGACTTCCTTCTGCCAAGTTTACGTTGCACTGGAAGTACGGAATTGAAAACGCTTTCGTACAGTGAATATTTGTACGAAAATAAATAGGAGTAACGAAAAACATCTTTGAAAAACGATGAGAAACTATTGCAATAGGACACCGACTCCTTCTTGCAAAGTTTACGTCGCTTTGGCTATACACCGAATTAAAAATCCTTTTTATAAGGGTGAAGTACATAGGAATATGAAATAAAGCATTGTTCGATATGAAATAAATATTCTATGTCGGCCTAAAATAAACAATACGTAATTGAAAATTTTACTTTTATATACGTGTGTATATATATATATATATATATATATATTAAGTGTACAAATGAATAATCCAAATTATTTTAAGCAGTTATGAAATCAATTTTAAATTGAATAGATTTTCCCGCTCTTTTGTGATTATGCAATGTTGACATATAGCTATTAAAAAGAACATAGTTTGGCGAAAGGCCCAACATAACCTTTAAAAGTATTCCGTTCAATACAGTCGAAAATGGCAACAGATAAGGTGCATATCCGACACTGCATTCTTTACGAATTCCAACAAGAAGAAAATGCTGCAAGAGCGTGCGAATCGATTTGTTCCTTTCTCGGCGAAGGTATTGTATCGTACGATGTGTGCGCATTTTAGTTTAAGTGGTTTAAAAGCGGTAATTTCAGTCTAATCGACAAACAATGTCCTGGAGGCCTTCCGAAGTGCGATAATGATGATTTGGAACAACTGCTCGCTGAGAATTCGGCACAAACACAAAAAGAGCTTGCAGGACAGTTGGGAATAATGCAGCAAACGATTTCCAAACGCCTACATGAGATGGGAAAGATCCAGAAAGAAGGAAAATGGGTTCCGCATGAACTCACTGAAACCAACAAAAATCAACGAGTGGCAGCGTGTCTTTCTCTTCTCAATAAGCAACGTCGAAAATCTTTCTTGTGGAAAATCGTTACGGGCGATGAGAAATGAATATTCTATGACAATCCGAAACGCAGAAAGTTATGAGTAAATCCCGGCGAATCATCAAAATCGGTCGCAAAACCCAATCGCTTCGGAAAGAAGGTTCTTCTCTGCATTTGGTGGGATATTAAGGACGTGCTTTATTGTGAGTTGTTGGAACCGGGTGAAACAGTTACTGCGGACTGCTACCAACGTCAATTAATCTGCTTGAGTCAAGAATTGGAACGAGAACGCCCGTATACTGACAAAGGAGAACGTCCAGTGAAATTGTTGCATGACAACGCCAGGCCACACATTGCTTCCAATACAAAAGACATCATAATGAGTCTTGGCTGGGACGTCTTGCAGCATCTGGTGTATTCACCAGACATTGCTCCATCCGATTATCACTTGTTCCGGTCGATGCAACACGCCTTGTCCGATATACACTTCCAATCAGTGGATGAGATCCGAAAATGGCTTTATCGTGTCCAAAGACGTAACATTTTTCCAAGAATTCATCAGCTGCCTGAAAGATGGCTTAAAGTTATAGGAAGCAACGGCGAATACTTTGATTGAACAATTTAATTTACTTTCTTTTAAAATAAACCTTGAATGTAGCTGAAAAAATTGGATTATTCATTTGTACACCTAATATATATATATATATATTTTCTCACAGGCTTTGGACAAACGTGTGTGTGCTGCGTTGTCAATTCTTCTTTTCTACACATAGATCTTATATGAATGTGAATGCGACGTTGGCAATATTTTCTTCTTCTCCGAAATATGTTTTTTGCTACTGCTCCTCCAATTCTTCGACTTGTTGGCATATACGGTATAACATAATACAAAATAATTAATGCAATGAATAATATTCCACAGAAATGATGTTTCGGAAGATTTAGAAGGATATATTATATAATGCTGAGCTGTGAAATTTTTATGAGAATGTATAAATTTAAAATAAGTTCAATAACAGTTTTTTAAAAAGAATAGTACGTTAGATTTTACATGATTCGGCTGCTTACGTATCGTTTTATTTTATTTTGGCAGAAATATTCACTGTACGAAAGCGTTTTCAATTCCGTACTTCCAGTGTGACGTTGCAGGAGGAAGTCGGTGTCCTATTCGCAATAGTTTCCCATCGCTTTTCTTGGATGATTTGTAATACTCCGCTTTATTTTGGCAGGAATATTCACTGTATGAAAGGGTTTTAAATTCTATATTTCCAGTGCAACGTAAACTTGGCAGAAGGAAGTCGGTGTCCTAATCGCAATAGTTCCTCATCGCTTTTCTTGGATGACTTGTATTATTCCGCTTTATTTTGGTAGGAATATTCACAGTACGAAAACATTTTCAATTCCGTAGTGCTAGTGCGACTTAAACTTGACAAAAAGAAGTCGGTGATACAATAAAGCGAGAAGCCAATTTACGTAAAAACAAGCATACTGTTTCTGAAGATTTTCGTGTAATAATATTCATTGCTCAAATTATTCTTTATTATGTTACACTGTATACAAGGTGAGGCAATAACTATTAGGACCTTAAATATCTTCGAATCTATAAGCCCCAGAGGAAGATTTGTAACCAAAATTGCACGGTACGGGGGCTATCATATAGCGATAATAATTTTTGTCCAGGTGGAGGCGCTTCGGAGATACCAAGGTCATCTTCATTTTTTTAAATGGATCCGATGTGTCTTTTTCCATAATATAATAGAGGAACTCGAAACAAATTCAGAACTTACGACACAAGATCATTGAACAAGATTTAAAGTAAAGAAAAATCGATAAAAATATATTTTTATTATTGAATGAAATTTACGTTTACAAAAGATGTTCGAAGTGATGGTCATCATTATCGATGCAAGACTGGATTCTTTCGATCATTGATTGGCTTGCTCTTTTAATAACGTCAGGAGTTATTGATGTACAGGCTGTAATAATCCGTTGTTGCATGTCTTGAGTTAGTTCTTTCTTCTTTGTAGACCATGTCCTTTAAGGTTCCCCATAAAAAGAAATCCAGTGGTGTCAAGTCTGGTGAACGAGTTGGCCACACTACACGACTCCCACGTCCAATCCAGCGATTTGTAAATTTTTCATTGAGTTTATTTCTCGCAACCAATGAAAAATGAGCTGGGCATCCATCGTACTGGTAATACATTGTTCGTCGTGTAATTAAAGGCAAATTTTCTAACAAAGGACCTATTGTATGCTTTAGAAAATTAGCGTAGCTATTGCCATTTAGATGTCCATCAATAAAATAAGGACCAATAATTTTGTCACCTATGATACCGCACCATACATTTAAAGATCATTGTCTCTGATGTTCGACTTGCCGCAGCTAATGAGGATTTTCCACTGCCCGGATATGCATGTTACGCAAATTAACGTTTCCGTGATTAGTAAATGTTGCCTCATCAGTGAATAACACCGTATCGAAAAATGAGTCATTGTTTCGAATCTGATGTTGAGCCCATTGACAAAATCTAACACGATTCACAAAATCCATCTTATGCAATCCTTGGTGAAGGCTAAGATGATATGGATGGAATTTGTGACGGTGTAAAATGCGAAGTACTCCTTTTGCTAACACCAGATTCTCGTTCAATTTATCGCGAACCAACGTGAGGATTTCGACCAACCATTGCGAGGACACCAACTTCATTCCCTTCATGAATTACTCTTTTTACACGTCCATTTTTACGAGTATTTAAACTACCGGTTTGTCTAAGCTTATCGCACACATTTTTAATTGTTTGACATGAAGGCAGAATGCGATTAGAATATCGTTCAGAATACAAAATTCTTGCTCGTACTAAATTTTGTTGACATTCACCATAAATTAAAATCATGTCAACTTGTTCTTCAAATAAATACATCTTGCACGATTGACTGATTTGTCGATACTTATCTTGTCATGTTTACTTTTATTACTACGGTGAATTTATTAAGATGTCCTTCAAAGAGTGTTTGCTTTCATTGAAGTGATAATACGTGAGTATCTATTTTCATTGTTGAAAGACATCTGAGCAAGTTCTCAGGATAAACTAGACATGAAAGTGGATTGAAATAAGATTAAAATAAAAAGAAAATAAAAGTCAATCATGTACGATGTATCCGTTTGAACATCTTTTGTAAACGTAAATTTCATTCAATAATAAAAATGTATTTTTATCGATTTTTCTTTACTTTAAATCTTGTTCAATGATCTTGTGTCGTGAGTTCTGAACTTGTTTCGAGCTCCTCTATTATATTATGGAAAAAAAACATGGATAGGATCCATTTAAAAAAATTAAGATGACCTTGGTATTTCCGAAGCGCCTCCACCTGGACAAAAATTATTATCGCTATATGATAGCCCCCTTTGTACCATTGCAATTTTGGTTACAAATCTTCCTCTGGGGCTTATAGATTCGAAAATATTTAAGGTCCTAATAGTTATTGTCTCACATTATATATATCAGCGAGTCGAAGAATCCGAGAAGCAGCAGCAAAATGCATATTTCGGAGAGAAGTCCAAATATCGGCAGCTCTTCATGGGCTAGTCATATCCACCGGCAAATATCGTATTTACATTCATATAAGATCTGTGTGTAGAAAAGTCGAAATGACAATACAGCACACACACATTTGTCCAAAGTCTGTGAGAAAAGATATTAGGAGTACAAATAAGTTTCCGCCGTTTGACAAAAGATGGCCCCACCAGAAGGTTATGTTGAAATTGTCAGATGTAAAACGTAATATCGTAAGTTTGGACAACTGGTAACAACATAACCTTGAAGTATAATGACTCCGTATCAGCATCACATAATTTTTTTCGTGCGAAAATATCAAATTTTGTGCCGAATAAGCGTCATTTGCGGGAACTTTTGATTTACTTCTTTAATTTGAAGAAATCTGCAGATGAGATGTATCGATTGCTAGTAGAAGCATATGGTGAGACTGCTTTAAGTGAGAGAAGTTGTCGTGAGTGGTTTCAAAAGTTTAAAAACGGTGAGTTTGACATGGAAGACAAAGAACGTAGTGGAAGGCCGAAAGTGTACGAATACACGGAATTGGAAGCATGATTGGAGGAAGATTAGCCAAACGTAAGAAGAACTTGCACTTACATTAGAAGTGACTTAACAAGCAATTTTACATCGATTGAAATCGTTGGGAATGATTCAAAAACAAGGAAATTGGGTTCCATATGAACTGAAGCCGAGAGACGTTGAATGCCGATTTTGCACGTGCGAAATGCTGCTTGCCAGGCATAAAAGAAATGGTTTTTTGCATCGTATAGTCACTGATGATGAAAAATGGATCCACTACGATAACCCAAAGAAGAGAAAATCATGGGGACCACCTGGCCATGCTTCAACATCGACAGCCAAACCGAATATTCATGGAAAAAAACTCATGCTGTATATTTGGTGGGATCAGCTTGGTGTCGTGTATTATGAGTTGCTCAAACCGAGCGAAACCATTACTGGAACTCTCTACCGAACATAATTAATGAGATTGAGCTGAGCACTCAAGGAAAAACGCGCCCATTACTACTCCAGATACGACAAAATTATTCTCCTACATGACAACGCTCGGCCACATGTTGCAAAACCGGTCAAAACCTATTTGGAAACACTTAATTGGGAAGTCCTACCCCACCCGTCGTATTCACTAAACATTGCCCCTTCCGATTATCACTTGTTCCGGTCGATGGCACATGGCCTGTCTAAGCAGCACTTTACATCATATGAAGATACTAAAAATTGGATCGATTCGTGGATAGCCTCAAAAGATGAAAAGTTCTTCTGACGTGGTATTCGAATGCTGCCAGAAAGATGGGAAAAAGTAGTGGCTAGTGATGGACAATACTTTGAATAAAACGTAATGTACCGTTCTTTCACAATAAATTCCTAATTTTTTATAGAAAACGGCGGAAACTTATTTGTACTCCTAATATATATGGAAAAATGCGATGAAAAGATAACGTAATCGCATCAGCGCTTATCCGATAATTGTCTTTACTATATAAATATGTATATACATATGTGTACCAAAATTCACTAACGTCGATAATAGATGATAACGTTCCCTACTTTTTGACGATCGCCTCTACGTTATCGACGCTTTGCATGTTCGTTGACGACTTCATTGACAGATGTTGAATTAGTTCAAGGAAATAATATATTTAAATGAGATAAAATCAATTCGCTCGACGTATATGATTATTTTGGCAGAGATCATTTCTGTTGTATTTTCTTTTTTATTTATTTTCTCTGATATGATGATTGGATTTCAAGTAGATAACATAGATTTTCTCTCGCATATAGGCCTTTATGAAGAAAACAGAAAACAAATCGACTAAATCTTTATCATTCAAAGACAGACTCAAATAAATTGTGAGATGAATAACGAGAAGCAAGGATAAAGAGATTCTAATGATTATCTTCAGGCTATCAGTGAACATCTCAAACACAGTCGGCCGAACACGATATCTTTACTGGACCTGACCGTGACGGGAATCTCTGTGTTGCCGGCGCGCTTCCTCGAGGACGTTGCTCTTCATGGGCTAGTCATATCCACCGGTGAGCTGAAACGCGTTCATGAGAACGCATTTATCGCATTGGCGCGGCCGTTACAGGCTCTTGGACTTCCGAATAATCTTTTGGACTCCGTTCCCACGATCGCGCTATCGTATTTGATCGGCTTGGACCGGTTGGATCTGTCTCACAACAAATTGAAAACGTTAAAAGCGGATTCTTTCAAGGTATGATTGGTTGCGGCGAATTTGTGAAATGAAGTGACATTTTTTATTTTTGTACGACCTAGTAGCTCTGCAAATAAAATGATTAGTGAAGAACTATTCAATCGGCGCATAACAAAATGGTTGGTTTCAGGGTTTGTCGAACTTGACTTATTTGGACCTGTGCGACAATCTGCTTTCGCAATTGTCGCCACAAGTGTTTCTGGTATTGCCGGTATTGCGCTCGCTGAGAATGCGCGGAAATCGCTTGAGCGTTTCTGCTTTGTCCGCCCTGAGAGGTCTCAAGCGACTGGAAGAACTGGATTTATCCAACAATCTGTTGCTGGGTCCGATGGGACCCAATTTATTGCCGCAGATGCCCAGATTATACTTTCTCAATGTATCCGAGAATAGTCTTGTCAACGTGCAACAGGGAGCTCTTATGGGTTTTAGGAATCTCACTTATCTGAGTCTGAGTCATAATCAAGTAAGTTAAAAAACTTGTTTGTTTAAAATAATAAACAACAGATCTCGAGCGATCTTGATCGAAACGAACGAAATATCGTTGGCTCACAGATCGACGTGCTGGAAGATCACTCATTCAAACATTTATCGACCCTGACACGACTAGATCTAGCGAACAATTGCATCGTCGCCGTGTCTAGCGCTTCGTTGGCGCACCTAGAGAAGCTAACGATGTTGGACCTGACGCACAACTTCCTGCGGTCGTTGACGGCGGACTTAGTGGTACCGTTGAAGAGCCTTCAGGATCTGCGATTGGATGACAATGATATCACGATCGTGGCGAGCGATGTGCCGACTACGAAGCTGCATCTCAAGCGGCTTTCTCTCGCCGACAATCCGTTCAACTGCGACTGCACTTTGTTGGAGTTTGCTAATTGGCTCAGCAACTCCAGTTTAACGGAGGAGGATAAGTCATCAGTGGTGTGCGCCACACCGCCTGCACTGGAGAATGGCATCCTCACGCAGGTGTCACCAGGCAGTCTGCTCTGCGGCGAACCTACACCGCCAATGATGACACGCGGTGTGCCCGTGGTGGGTGAGCAGCTCAGCTTGAAAGAATTCCACTACGACGAGTCGACCGGTGTCAACCTACTTTGGCATGTGGAGCAATGCGCTGAGCGCTACACCTGCGACTCGCTCATCGTCTACGAGACCGTTGACGACAGCGAAGTTCAGCTAGAATCAAGCTCTTTGCATTGCGATTCACGTATGATGCGCGATCCTTGTATCTTGTCGGTCTCCATACCGGTTTCATTGCATCTACAACTAGGCCACAAGTATCGCTACTGCGTGGTGTTACTGGTGCCTATTGCCTACGACGACGTCTCTCTCGGTCTCGGTTGCAGCGACGTGATCGTTCTAGAAAAGACTCAACAAGAGCAGCAACAGCAGCAGGACGACTCACATCTCGTGACTTCTACACAGCCGCCGTTCTTTGGCACCTTTTACTCGCGTATCACCGGAGTTCATGTGAACGTGTCTGATCAAGGCAACCTGCATGTGGACGTCGCGCTCTCCGCGAAGATGACGGAGACGACGGAGAAATCGCCCTGCCGGCTGTCGATTGTTGTCTTTAATGCGATCACCGTGGTACATCGGCAGACGCTCAACTGCAGCTCAGCATTCGTTACCGTGGAAGTGTCATTACCGGGTTGTTATATGGTGTGCGCCAGTCTGGACGAGCACATCGAGGCTGTAGTCGCCGTCAGCGATTTACTCGGGGATCACGAGCGATCTCGCTGTGTCGAAGTGGTACAGGGCCACCAGCTGAATGTCATCTTCATCACCTTAGCCGTCGCTCTCGTCATTTGCATCATTACCCTTCTTCTCATCCTCCGCGGCTACAATCTCGGTAGGCGGCATTCCGCTATACAAGCACAGTGTTTCCTGCCGACACAGGAATTCGAGATCACTCACAAAGCACACTACATTAAACTCCTGGCCACGACGAAAGTCTGACGACAGATGATCTGCGACATCGTATTAATAATAACACGAATAATACAAGTAACAACATCAATAATAATGATAATAACAGAGGCCACGGGACAATCTTGTCAGACATAGAACAAATATGATTATGAGAAATAATATCAATATTAATATAAAAAATAATACTAAAGAAACCGGTCATCTTCTATGATGAAGATATACGAATGCTGGCAAAATAACGAAAAATCGCAAGTAGCGATGAGGCAGATGAGGATTACACGGTCGAGTAATTTGTTTTCATTAAGGTACAATGAAGTCAAATTTGACTGGAAAATCATGTCGAACACTTTTCGACTGATCCGATATTATAATTTTGTTCGTGTAACATGCTGTAAATATGATTTTTTAATCGTTTTTAACATCCAAATGCAATGCACCCGTTTTGTTGTAAAATAATAAATATATGTGTTTACTATTACACTCTTGTTATAGCAATTATTTTGTTTTTCCTTGTATATATATTGAATGTCGGAAGATACATAACTGCATCTCTTATAAAAATGAGTATAAATAAATATTTGTTTAACACCCCTGATGCCTTCTTTTTAATCTTTTTCTTTCGTCTTCTTGTGTCAACTATCTTAAATGCGATCTTAACTTATATGAATAGGTATATACAGGAATATTACGAATCAAGATATTTTCTCAGCAAACACGGAACTATTATATAACATACAGGTTGCGTGAAAAGTTCGCGGAGCGATATCTATAAGTAAACGGTAGAATTATAAATTGTATTCGGTTATATAGAATCACTCTTCACATGAACCTAGGTTAGGTTTCATTTCCATCTGTCAATTCTTTCTGTGTTTACAAGCTAATTGAAGTTGACGTGTCAGTATATTTGTTTGCAATGGAAAATTTGAAACAGCGTGCAGTGATTGAGTTCTTTGTTAAAAAAAAGTTTAAAGGCAATGGAAATTCATTCCGAGATAGTAAATGTGTTAAGGGAATCTGCTCCTTCAAAAACAATGGTTTGTAAATGGGCACTTGAGTTTCAACGTAGTTGTACAAGCATTGAAGATGATCCACGCAGTGGACGTCCAAAAAGCGCATCAACACCAGAAATCATTGAGCAAATACATGTTATTGTTTCTGAAGATCCAAGTGTGACTATGCTCATAAATGCGTGAAATTGCTCATACCATAGGCATTTCAGATGAACGCGTACGGCATATTTTGCATAAAGAATTACAAATGAAAACGGTGTTTGGAAAAGTGGTGCCGCATACGTTAATAATTCAACAAAAACTCGCTCGAAAGCAAATTTCTCAACGTCATTTGGATCGTTTTAAGAAGAATAAAACTGATTTTGTGCGTCGTTTTATAACTATGAATGAGACTTGGATATGTCACCATGATCCTAAATTGAAACAGGAACGTTTACAGTGGACTGAAGTTGGATATTCAGCTGCAAAGCAAACAAAGCATGAAAGATCGGCAAAAAAGGTTTTGGCATCAGTTTTTTGGGATGCTAAAGGGATTTTGTTAATTGACTATCTGGAGAAAGGTAAAACAATTAACTCTGAATATTATTGTATTGTCCTTTTGGATCAATTGGACGCAAAAATTCGTGAGAAAAGACCTGGTTTGAAGCACAAACAAATCATTTTTCACCAAGACAACGCACCTGCTCACAAAAGTGTTTTGTCAATGTCTAAATTCAATGAATTGAAGTACAAATTGCTTGATCATCCACCGTATTCGCCAAATTTGACACCCAGCGACTTCTATCTATTCCGAAACCTGAAACAATTCCTCCGTGGAAAGCATTTTTTGTCGAATGAAGAAGCTATAGCAGCTGTAGAGGCATATTTCGCAGACCTTCCAGAAACACACTTCCGCGATGGAATAAAATTATTGGAAAGCCATTGGGCCAAGTGTATTGAAGTTAATGGAGACTATATTGAAGAATAAAATCATTTGTAGAATTAGGTATTCTTTATTTCAGTTTCGCTCCGCGAACTTTTCACGCAACTTGTAGAAGTAACATATTATTATTGTTATATTATAATTAAGTTGTAACTAAGTCATTAATATAGAAGTTATTTAATTTCCTTTTATAATAGCAATATAATTTATACAAATAACAACTTCTCTTTCAGTAAGCAAAAAATCATCACTACGATGTTACTACAACGGTATTTAATAACATATAATGTTTCTAAATATATCGTATTTAACGTTGTATATTATATAATTGTGAGCAAACTTTGATACTAATTTGGAGATTTTGGTAATATTATTGTTATAAATGTTGAAGTTACAAATATTATATCATTTTAACTCATATTGTACTTATGTTTCTTTAACATTTTGCTAATGTTTATCAGATGATATTAAATAAATAGTACAATTTTATATTAGTGTCAACATTGGAACATTATCATAGCAACGTCAATGTAATGTTAATTCTAATATTTATTTAAAATTGCTATTAATATTTTATTTCGATTACATATTATATATTTTCGACAAATTTTCGACAATAGTAAAACACTGAAAAATATATTTTGAAGTTTAGTAACCATTAACAAAAAAAGTATAAAAAAAATGTATTCCTTTTTTAGAAAATGTATTTCTGTCAAGTAAAAATATTAATCTCTCATCATTCTTAATTTTTTGATAGTACTTTCATTAGTATTTTTCCCACAAATATTGGATGTACTAAACCTTATTTGCGTTACATGTAGCGATATCTTTAAAACTTCTATATTTAGAAGAAGATTCTACATTTAAATTTTATAAGAAATTCAGAAGATAAAGCAAATATTTTGTATTATAATCCTTGAGTTTTTATTAACAGATTATAAAATAACAAGATTATCCCTGTATAAAATGTCGAATTGAAACATATTAAAAAGCATTGACATTTTGAATACATCTGAATTCTGCTTTCTGATACGAAGAAAGGGATTGAAAAGTTCCCATTAAATTTCACCGCGCTAAATGGGAGATGGCAGTGGTGAATGCTTCGCATTAAAAAGAATTCAATTTATTTCAAATATGCCTTGCATTCAATCGCAATCGATAATTTTCAAATGCGAACTTTCACATTGAAAAGTGTTCACGTCTTCTCCTAATTGTTTTCGGATTCAGAGGCATACAAGATTTTCATGTTCTATTCCCCGTAGCATTGAAAAGTATTGGCCCGCGATCCAATCCGAGATTTCCGCAAAGTAGAATTCACGACGAAATCTTGTGAATGCGAAACAATACTTTTAAATACATTTTATACAGGGAAACTTGCATATATTAGATTGAAACATATTGGTAGAGAATACATTATTTTGATAATTTTATAGTTCCAGAAATAGAATACATATTTTTTAACTAAATTATTATTAGGAAATTGAAATAATTCTGCTCTTATTTGGTCTTATCTTTATTTTAAAGAAATGGTTAAATTTACATCAATCAAAATATTTTCCATCGTTAGCTGTGACTTTTTCTCATCTTTCTGGCAACATAGTGATTCCGCGACGATAGAACGATCTGTCTTTCGAAGCAATCCAATCAGATACCCATTTTTGCACATCCTTATAATTATTGAAGTGTGTATGTGCCAAAGCCTGTTGCATCGGTCGGAATAGATGGTAATCAAATGGTGCTAAGTCTGGAGAGTACGCTAGGTGGAAGGATTTCCTATTTGAGCTCTAACAATGTTTGTTTAACGATTGAAGCAATATGTGGACGAGCATTATCATGCAAAAGAATCACTTTGCGTGTATTGCTGATTATCGCTGGCCTTCTTTTAGATCAATTAATTATTCAATTTGTTCAATTGTTGCTGGTATCACACCCGGCCACTTCTCATGGTGTAGGCGTTTAGAAATTGTTGATTTATCGATGTAGAGTGGTTCAATCAATTATTTTTCCATTTGAGCAGTGTTTTTATTCAATAATGCTTGCAATTCAGAATCTTCGAATTTTTTTGATTGACCAGTACGTTCTTTGCCACTCAAATCGAAATCACTACTTTTGAATCCAAAATTTACAGTTGGAATACGATAGAGCTTGATTACCATAAGTTGTAACAAACATTTCATGAGCTTCACTTGCGGATTTTTTCAAATTAAACAAAAAAACTAATGGATGTCGAAAATGCAATTTTGTACGATCTATTTTAGACGCATATAAACAGTGAAATTATTAATAACAATAGTGCGCAAACTGTCATATATCATAGAGAAATGTCAAATATTTCAGTGTTATCAGATTTCAATATTCTTATTAATCATTAACTTGTTACTAAAGCCATCTATTGCTAGGGACAAGAACTATTAGGAGTACAAATAAATTTCCGCCGTTTTCTATAAAAAATTAGGAATTTATTGTGAAAGAACGGTACGTTTTATTCAATTACGTTTTATTCAAAGTATTGTCCATCACTAGCCACTACTTTTTCCCATCTTTCTGGCAGCATTCGAATACCACGTCAGAAGAACTTTTCATCTTTTGAGGCTATCCACGAATCGACCCAATTTTTAGTATCTTCATATGATGTAAAGTGCTGCTTAAACAGGCCATGTGCCATCGACCGGAACAAGTGATAATCGGAAGGGGCAATGTCTAGTGAATACGACGGGTGGGGTAGGACTTCCCAATTAAGTGTTTCCAAATAGGTTTTGACCGGTTTTGCAACATGTGGCCGAGCGTTGTCATGTAGGAGAATAATTTTGTCGTGTCTGGAGTAGTAATGGGCGCGTTTTTCCTTGAGTGCTCAGCTCAATCTCATTAATTGTGTTCGGTAGAGAGTTCCAGTAATGGTTTCACTCGATTTGAGCAACTCATAATACACGACACCAAGCTGATCCCACCAAATACACAGCATGAGTTTTTTTCCATGAATATTCGGTTTGACTGTCGATGTTGAAGCATGGTCAGGTGGTCCCCATGATTTTCTCTTCTTTGGGTTATCGTAGTGGATCCATTTTTCATCACCAGTGACTATATGATGCAAAAAACCCTTTCTTTTATGCCTGGCAAGCAGCATTTCGCACGTGCAAAATCGGCGTTCAACGTCTCTCGGCTTCAGTTCATATGGAACCCAATTTCCTTGTTTTTGAATCATTCCCAACGATTTTAAACGATGTGAAATTGCTTGTTGAGTCACTTCTAAGGTAAGTGCAAGTTCTTCTTGCGTTTGGCACGAATCTTCCTCCAATAATGCTTCTAATTCCGTGTCTTCGTACACTTTCGGCCTTCCACTACGTTCTTTGTCTTCCACGTCAAACTCATCGTTTTTAAACTTTTGAAACCACTCACGACAACTTGTCTCACTTAAAACAGTCTCACCATATGCTTCTACAAGCAATCGATGCGCCTCAGCTGCAGATTTCTTCAAATTAAAGAAGTAAATCAAAAGTTCCCGC